GTCTGCGAGCCAGTTATTTAAATATCCAAACATAATATTCCACTCTTACTTTCCACAGATTATCATTCCTTCTCCTAATTCATGTTCATAGATAAATATACAGTCCTCAAATATTAGTCAATATGCTTAAGATGCCTGGATTTAAAACTCTCTCTACTTTCTAGAGTGACACATAGTGCTCATTACGTCTGTATTTCTGATTCTATAAAGCAAACATTTTATATACAATACAAAAAGTGCAGCTGATTTTTTTAATTAAATACAAAAAAGATGTTTAATGGATTAAGATCTCCCAATTCACAGTTCTATGGTTCTAACCTCAGCTGGATCTAAAGAGGTGGGAAAAGTAGAAAGTACACTGGTCCCGGATTCTAATTCTATCTCTGCTACTAATTAGCTTTGTTGCCTTAGGGATTCCACTTAACCTCACTGGATCTGCTAGCCACATCTAAAAACTGAAGGTTAAATTAGACTACTTAATTAAGGTTTCTACAAACTCTTTTAAAAATGATTCTAGGTTCATATTTCCACAGTCTTCCCAAATATCTTCTTTTCCTAATTCTCAGCAGTAATAAACTTTTCCTTGGATTAACCTCAGATATCAACAACGCGCAAACGTGTAAACAAATTTTTATACTTCCATTTAAAAAATACGTAATGTACATAAGATTTATCCCGTATTATTTTGGTAAATCCTATTTTTTTAATAACTATAACATGTCTAAGAGCCCCAGTTAAAAATAACGATTACTCAACATACATTACACATGTAGGCACATGACTTATTGTGCAATAACTGCCAGAACAGTTAGCAATGGAAAATACTTCATTCCCTGACACTAATCAGAAAATTAAAAACTAGGGTGTTACTTTTTTATAACGTCCAAAACAAAAGAGAATACTACATATATCAAGTGTCTCTACATAAAATTGGATTAAATGAGGTATCATTTCAGTTTTAAAATCCTACGGAAAAGCATTTTAAGTCTGAGCATTCTGTAACTAAACAGCATTCTTTTAGACTTAAACCAAACCCTACATATAATAGTAATTCAGCTTCATGAACCTTTTGAGTAAGTTAAATGACACCTATTAAATCTTCCTTAATGTTTAAGGCACATGTAGTGACCTTTTAATTTGTTTACAAAATGTTGATTTTTACAAAAAGAAAACTGGCTTCAGCTGAAGCTTTTCATACCTGAGAAGTTGCTTCTTAAATTTGAATGAATAAATGGTCAACTCTAGAGTGACATGTAGTACTCAATACATCTGTATTTCTGATTCTATAAAGCAAACATTTTATATACAATACAAAAAATGCAGCTGATTTCTTAAAAGGCTAAGCTTACTATTTTGGACACACTGTTTCTACCTAAAAATCTGTAAAATCATCTTTAATCACTAACTTGGATTTTAATCACTACATCCTCAATATATTCTATAAGAATCAGGGGTTAGGTTAGAGCCTTGAGGTTAAAAAGTATGAAATTTACTGAGGTCCTCTTTTCAGCATCTTAAAAGCATCAGTGAATTACAGCTCAGATTTTTTTTTTCTTTTTTAAATTAGTATTACTTTTAATTGACAAATCATAACTGTATACATTTATGGAATACAAGATGTTCTGATACATGTTTACCATGTGGAATGACTAAATCAAGCTAATTAACACATCCATCACCTTATCTTTGTGACTTTCTTTTTCTTAACTGAAGCTACCCACACCATTACAGTTTTTAAAAGGATAGTCTAATGATAACAGTGGGCCAGGCACAGTGGCTCACACCTGTAATCCCAGCACTTTGGGAGACCAAGGCAGGCACATTACTTGAGACCAGGAGTTCAAGAACAGCCTGCCCAACATGGTGAAACCCCATCTCTACTAAAAATACAAAAATTAGCTGGGTGTGGTGGCAGTCACCTGTAGTCCCAGCTACTCGGTAGGCTGAGGCACAAGAATAGCCTGAACCCAGGAGGCAGAGGCTGCAGTCAGCCAAGATCACGCCACTGCACTCCAGCCTGGGCAACAGAGCAGGACTCCATATTAAAAGAGATAATAGTGGAGCCACTGGTTCACTTTGACTTCAACAGCTTTGCATTAGTTTTGTTGTTGTTAAGCATAATAATCTAATGGGGGGGCGGGGGGAACACATGATGCGATCACTTTCCACAATCCATAAATCCACTACTGCAGCCCACATCTGGATAGATAGTGATTCAAAGTAGAAGATGATACTACCTGAGTCCCTTCTCAGTATTTTTCAAGCCATTGTTCCTGCATTCAATGGGTACACCCAATTACAAATAATAACAACAGTTACCATTTACCTATCCCCTTCTGTGGGCCAATATGAGTGCTAGCTACTTAACATTTTTCATGTCATTTAATCCCTAGAGTAACTCCGTAAGAAATATATCATTACCTCCATTTAATAGATGGGAAAGTAAGGACTCAAAGAGGATATAAGGCTGCTAAGTGGCAGAGCCAGATTTCAAATCCAGGGTTGTCTGACTTCAAAGGTCATGCTCATTAAGCTACACTGTCTACTGAAAACAGAAGCATGAAAATCAGCAAGAAGTTTCTCAAAGATTTGCTCAACTTTTCAGACTTCCCATGCATAACGACCTAACTGCAACAAATACAACTGGCTGTATTAATACACCTATCTACATGATACATTAATTCAATGTTGTCAAAAGAACAAGATTTACAAGATGACTCCAATTCTCAGCTCAAGGGGACATGAGAAAATTTAGTTAACTGAGCTCAACTTCACTCAAGCTTACGCCTCATCTTTTCCACATTATATAAAAGTTCTAGCAGGATGTGATGCGTCAAGCCTATAATCCCAGTGCGCTGGAAGGCCAAGGCAGGAAGACTGCTTGAGGCCAGAAGTTCAAGACCAACATAGCAAGAGCCCATCTCTATAAAAAAAAAATTAAAAATAAATAAATAAATAAATAGCCAGCCACGGTAGTGGCACGTGCCTGTAGTCCCAGCTACTTGGGAGGCTGAGGCAGGGAGGATCACATGAGCCCAGGAGTTGGAGGCTGCAGTGAGCTACGACTGCACCACTGCACTCCAGTCTGGGTGAAGATCCTGTCTTCAAAAAAAAAAAAAGAAAAGAAAAAAATTCTAATATAAATATGTAACCTGAAATTCATTTTTCCTCATTAATTTTAGTGGTATTAGGCCAGGAACAGTGGTTCATGCCTGTAATCCCAGCACTTTAGGAGGCCAAGGCAGGAGGCTCGATTGAGCCCAGGAGCTCAAGGCTGGCCTGGGCAACATAGGAAGATCTTGTCCCTACCAGAAAAAAAAAAAAAAAAAAAAAAAATTAGTGGTATTAGATACACATTCCACCCTTCTATTCCTGTGGAAGCTCAAAAAATCATAATATTACAATAGGCGGCCAGGCACGGTGGCTCACGCCTGTAATCCCAGTAATTTAAGAGTCCAAGTCGGGCGGATCACATGAGGTCAGGAGTTTGAGACCAGTCTGAGCAACACAGCAAAACCCGTCTCTACTAAAAGTAATTAGCCGGCCGTGGTGGAGGACGTCTGTAATCCCAGCTACTCAGGAGGTGGAGGCAGGAAAATCGCTTGAACGTGGGAGGTGGAGGTTGCAGTGAGCTGAGATCTCGCCACTGCACTCCAGCCTGGGGGACACCGCGAAACTCCGTCTCAAAAAAAAAAAAAAAAAAAAGTAATAATAATAATATTAGAAAAGGAGCCGAACAACAAGCAGGTAAAGCTTCCTTACACACACCATTCTTCAAAGGACGTTGGGGTTTCTGCTAATCTCTTTTTCTCCAAGACTTACTCACTCCTGTTGCTTTATTACTGCAAGGACTAAGAATCCCAAGTTACCTATTTTCTCAAACATGAAAGCTGTGTTTGAATTATTCTTGTGTAACCTAACCAGTCGGACAGCTAGTCTTCAGGATTTCAACAGTCATTGAAAAGGTGGAAGAACTGCTGCCATCTCTCTTCAGAACAGTTCTAAAACTCCCCTGGCGTGTACAAGCCACTACCAGCTAAAACTGAGTCACAGCAACTCCTGGGCTCTAAATAAAGATCAAGGAGAAATTTTTCGGTCCTATTTCTTTCCCAACCAACCAAACAAGCAAAACGAAATAATCATCTTTCTACTCAATCATTGATGAACAAACACCACATTCTATGTAAGTCCTCCGTGCAATTTTCCTTCCACCCATTCCCTGCGCCTGCTAAGCTGTGTACCTGCCCAGTACCTTCTTTTCTCTTCAAGTGAAAAACACCATTGAAAGACCAACCCCTTTTTCGCAGGGTAGTTAACTTTATGCTGACTGCAGATCCATCTTATCTACTCTCTTAAAACAATTAACTTTTAGCTTCATAAATACTACGTATTGTGGGCTAGCTGGAGCTCAGCAATCAGCTTGGCCTCCGCGCCTGGGTGACGGGTGAAAACAAGTAACTGAATTAGATGGGGCGAGCTGCCCACAAAATTCAGGAAGGCGCCCACACTGGTCTCCTGCTTTCACAATGGGGCTATTGGTCCAAAGTGGCAACTTAAGAGAGGATCTTAATGCTTACGCTTTCTCATAGGGCTGACGGATTTGCCAAATCCCACCCTTTGGGAAAGTGACAGACTGGACTTAACTCTTTGGCTGCCCCTACTGGGCAAACCCAATGGAAACCCCAATCCCCAAGTGCTTTAAAAAATGTGACAAGCCCAATTTAACTCTTTCCGAGCCCCCGCGGCGTTGAGGACACAGCCCTTGGAAAATGTCTACATAGACTTAACCCTTCCGCTGCCGATCTCAGTGCTACTCCCCGCGCCGCCAACACGCGGGAAATTCCAAATTCTGGCCCTCGGGAGGTGACAGGCCCAGCTTCGCACGCCCCCCCGCCATCAGTCCCATCGCGCCGAGGGCCGTCTAGACTCAGGCCTTCTAGAGGCGCCGGGCCAGACTCCGGGCTGCAGAGCCCCGGGCGAGAGAGTGGGCGGGCACTCACCGCGATGACATTGACGAAGGTGGTCTTGCCCGAGTACTGCAGCCCCACGAGCGTCAGCTCCATCTCCTCCTTCCAGAAGAGCGAACGGAACCAGTCCAGCAGGCGGGAGATGAGCGCCAGCATGATGGCGGCCGGGATCGAGGACGGACGGGAGGACGGACGAGCAGCGGCGTCGACGACTTCCACACGAGCGGGCCTCCGCCCAGACCCCCCAACGGCTCCTCGATGCCCCGGCGCGACACGGGCGCACACCGGCGGGCAGCAGCGGCCAGAGCCAGGAAGCTAAGCGGGTCATATGACTCGCCCTACCCCCCACGCCCGTCCCGGCGCCGCCGTCTGCACCCACGGCAAGAGCGGCGCGGCCCGTCTGACCAGGCCCCCCCGCCGCTTGCAGCGCCACCTGGTGGGCATGCCCCGCAGCACAGCGTACCCGCGGGCCCCCTTGAGGCTTTCTCTCCATTCATTCACTGTTGGTTCTTTCGTCATTCATCCACTTATTCATTCGTTAATTCATTCATTCATTTTTTTTCTATAATCGTTCATCAGCAATCTACTCTGCAGGAAGACTTCAAGACTCTGGAAGAGTTAGCGTGGAATAAAACTTCCTGTCCTACATTTTTGGTAGTAGCAAAAATAGTGTTAACTTAAAAATCACACAGTTTATAAATTTAGAAAGGAGAGCTTTATTTCTTAAGAAGGGGATTATAACCTGTAGGCAGGAAGTGCAGCCTCAGGCTAAAAAAAAAAAAAGTAAGCACTTTGAGAGAGGGAAGGGTGCAACAAGAATTTATATTGAAGGGTTGGCCAAGTAAACATATTTCACTTATGGAAGGAGCTATTAATATGTATGAAGGTGGTGGTCTTGACACATACATAGTGAACAAATCTGTATGGTTCATATGACCTTGTTCATTTAAGGGTGGCGACTTAATATTTAAATGTATTATAATCAGGCAGGGTGTGGTGGCTCATGCCTGTAATCCCAGCACTTTGGGAGGCCAAGGCGGGCAGATCATCTGAGGTCAGGAGTTTGAGACCAGCCTGACCAACATGGTGAAGCCCCATCTCTACTAAAAATACAAAATTAGCCGAACGTGGTGGTATGCACCTGTAGTCTCAGCTGCTTGGGAAGCTGAGGTGGGCGAATTGTGTGAACCCAGAAGGCGAAGGTTGCAGTGAGCCGAGATCATGCCACTGCACTTCAGCCTGGGTGATAGAGTGAGACCCTGTCTCAAAAAAAAAAATTAATAAATAAATAAAGTAAATGTATTATAATCAGGCCCTCCAAACAGAAAGTGAATCAGGGACCAGAAAGGCATTCAACTGCTTGGCCTCTGTAAAACCAGCCAGAACTGAGCTGGGCGTGGTGGCTCACAGCCTGTAATCCCAACACTTTGGGAGGCTGAGGCAGGTGGATCACGAGGTCAGGAATTTGAGACCAGCCTGGCCAACATGGTGAAACCCCGTCTCTACTAAAGATACAAAAAATTAGCCCAGGCCAGGTGCAGTGGCTCATGCCTGTAATCCCAACACATTGGGAGGCCAAGGCGGGCAGGTCACCTCAGGTCAGGAGTTCAAGACCAGCCTGACCAACATGGTGAAACCCCGTCTCTACTAAAAATACAAAAATTAGCCAGACATGGTGGCATGCGCCTGTAATCCCAGCTATGCCAGAGACTGAGGCAGGAGAATCGCTTGAATCCGGGAGGCGGAGGTTGCAGTGACCGAGATCATGCCCCCGCCATCCTGGGTGACAGAGCAAGACTCCATCTCAAAAAAACAAAAAAAAAAAACAAAACAAAAAGCCAGCCAGAACCAATGCATGGATGCATAGTAAGCTGTCTCTTAACAGGAGAAAGTTACAGAAGTCAGTCGCTTGTCTAATCAAAGCCACAGTTAGGCTTGTGGAACAGATCAATTAGCCTGCATCTGGAAGAGAGTTGTAACTGTTTTAATTGTGTTTATTTCCAGGCCAGTGCTGGTTTAGCTGGTAGAGAAAAAGAAAAACCTTGCAGTTAGTCATTTAACCCTTGCCTAGTATGGCCTTAGGTCCTGCTTATAATTTGCTATCTGATTGTCACAGAGTCCGTTCTGTCAGTCTTATGATCTCTATTTTAACGTTAATGTTGGTCATTTGTTGTTTCTAAACCACATAAAGGAGGAGGTATAACCAGGTGTGACTGACTTCCCATCTTGTCGAGGGAAGGAACTCAGTTTCTAAGATTTTCCTAGGATCTCTTTGTCCAGGAAGGGTCTGTGTAGTCACTTGAGGGAGCTCAGTTTTTTTGTTTATTTGATTTCGAGACAGAGTTAAGCACAGTTGCCCAGGTTGGAGTGCAATGGCAGATCATAGCTCATTGCAGCCTTGAATTCTTAGGCTCAAGTGATCCTCCTGCTTCAGTCTCTCAAAGTGTTGGGATTACAGGCTTGAGCCACCATGCCCACACCCAGCTCAGGAATTTTTTTTTTTTTTTTTTTTTTGAGATGAGTCTCCCTCTGTTGCCAGGCTGGAGTGCAGTGGCGCAATCTCAGCTCACTGCAACCTCAGGCTCCTGGGTTCAAGCAATTCTCCTCCCTCAGCCTCCCGAGTAGCTGGGACTACAGGCGCGCCACCAAGCCAGGCTAATTTTTGTATTTTTAGTAGAGATGGGGTTTCACCATGTTGGCCAGGATGGTCTCAATCTCTTGACCTCATGATCCACCCACCTTAGCCTCCCAAAGTACTGGGATTACAGGCGTGACCCACCAGGCCCAGCTCAGGATTTTATTTTTAGTTTACAATGGGAAGCAATGAGTGTCTATCAATAGGGAATTGATTAACCAGGATGTGTCCCCAGAAAGGAATACTATGCAGCTATAAAAATATATATATATATATAAGAAGAAGAAAGTTATCTGTAAACTGATAAGGAATGATGATCAGGAAATATTTTCAAGAGACAAAAAAATCAAGGTTCATGGCTGGGCACAGTGGCTCACACCTGTAGTCCCAGCACTTTGGGAGGGCAGATCACTTGAGGCTGGGAATTTGAGGCCAGCCTGGCCAACATGGCAAAACCCCATCTCTACTAAAATTACAAAAATTAGCCAAGCGTGGTGGTGCATGCCTATAATCCTAGCTATTCATGAGGCTGAGGCAGGAGAATCCCTTGAACCCAGGAGGCAGAAGTTGCAACGGGCTGAGATTGCACCACTGCATTCCAGCCAGTCCAGATTAAGACTGTCTCAAGGCCAGGCGCAGTGGCTCATGCCTGTAATCCTAGCACTTTGGGAGGCTGAGGCGGGTGGATCACAAGGTCAGGAGATCGAGACCATCCTGGCTAACATGGTGAAAACCTGTCTCTACTAAACATACAAAAAATTAGCTGGGCGTGGTGTCGGAAGCCTGTAGTCCCAGCTACTGGGGAGGCTGAGGCAGGAGAATATTGTGAACCTGAGAGGCGGAGCTTGTAGCGAGCTGAGATTGCGCCACTGCACTCCAGCCTGGGCAACAGAGTGACACACCCTCTCCAAAAAAAAAAAAAATAGACTGTTTAAAAAAAAAACAAAAAAAGTCAGGTTCAGACTGTGTACATAATGATATTTGGAATGTAAGATGAGAAAATAATAACGCATATGATTACGTGCTGGGATTACAGGCATGAGCCACCATGCCTGGCCACAATATAATTTACTTTAACATATATTTAAGACTTTAAAATGAAAAAAAATTCCTTCCCTCATGGAGCCTACAATCCAGCAGGGGAGACATATACTATAATAAACAAATTAAGAAATGAGGCCTGGCGGCTCACTCCTATAATCCCAGCCCTTTGGGAGGCTGAGGCAGGGAGATCACCTGAACCCAGGAGTTCAAGACCAGCTTGGACAAGATAATGAGACCCTGTCTCTACAAAAAAACTGAAAAACTTAGCCAGGTGTGGTGCTCATGCCTGTAGTCCCAGCTTCTTGGGAAGCTGAGGCAGGAGGATCACCTGAGCCGAGGAATCAGAGGCTTCAGTGAGCCATGACTGTGCTCCAGCCTGGGTAACAAAGTAAGGCCCTGTCTCAAAAAAATAAAATAAACAAATAAATCTGAGACATAATAGCATGTAGTAAAGGAAGCCGAACAAGAGAAGGAACAGGACAGGACTGTTCTACTTCGGATCAGGTGGCCCTGGGTGGAAAGACTTAGAGGAAATGAGAAAGAGATCCGGGCAGACATCTGGTGGAAGCACATTCCAGGCAGAAGGAACAGCAAAGATCCAGTTTGGGAGGAGTGCAGAATGCTCTGGGCAGAGAAAGACAGTCGGCGTGGCTGGCACAGATTAGTGAAGCGGGGTGTTGGAACAGATGTGGATGGAGAAGGAGGAAGGGAGCAGATTGAAAGTTGGCATGGTAGGCCTACCTTGGATTTTACTCTCAGTGTGATGGGAAGCCAGGAGAGTGATCCAACTGATATTTTTAGTTCGTTTTTCTGTGTCTATTGATTATTTAGAAAGAAAAAGGAAGCAACAGCAGCTCACGATGGCACAACTGTGGCAAACTGACTGTAAGGGGGTTTTAGGGGTTGAATTGTGTCCCCCCCCTCCTTAAAAAAAGACATATTGAAGGCTGGATGTGGTGGCTCATGCCTGTAATCCTCGCAGGATTTGGGAGACTGAGGTGGGAGATTGCTTGCACTCAAGACTTCAAGACCAGCCAGAGCAGCAAAGTGAGACCCTGTCTCTAATTAAAAAATAGAAAGGGAAGGGAAGGGGAAAGGGAAGAGGAAAGGGAGGGTGAGGAGGAGGGGGAGGGAGAAGGGAAAGACGGGCACGTGGTGGCTCATGCCTATGATCCCAGCACTTTGGGAGGCCAAGACAAGTGGATCACCAGAGGTCAGGAGAGAGAGGGCAAGG